CAAACTACCCCTCATGTTCACCCCCGAAATATTTCTGTGACATCTCAATATTTTGAAATGAAATAAAATGGAAATTACTTCTTTTAAAAAAATAAAATGTTTCACAAGTGATTTCGTGTTTCAGGAAAACTAAGTATATTTTCAAACATTTTTTATATATAAAAAATTCATATTGATTCAAAATATTAAAAATATGATTTATGTAAACAAATTGACAAAAATATTCTCATTTTAGGGGGCGAACAACTCCCTAGTAATCCCCTAGTGTGCGAAAAATGTCTTAATTTTTTCTCTAATCATACGAATAATTTTTTCTCTTGGTCTAAAATGGATTTAAACAGATGCAAACTACCCCTGATGTTCAACCCCAAAAACAATATCCGTGATATCTCGGATTCTAATCAATATTTTGGAATGAAACAAAATGGAAATTACCGAACCCGTTTATTGGGGGATGAACAGCAGGGGTAGTTGATGAACAGCAGGGGTAGTTTGCAACAGTTTAAATCCGTTTTAGACCAATAGAAAAAATTATTCGTATGATTAGAGAAAAAGTAAAACCTTTTTATTTTAAAATGTTAATTCTAGTCAGCACAGAAATTTTTCGCACACTAGGGGGTTGTTCACCCCTTAAAAAGAGAACTTAATTTTGTCAATTTGTTTACATAAATCATATTTTTAATTTTATTTAACAAATATGAATTTTTTTATATACCTATAAAAATTGTTTGAAAAATATAGTCTGAAATAAAAAATAAGGGTAGCAACCCCCAAACACGAAAACACTAATGAAACATCTGTTTTTTTTATAAGAAGTAATTCTGCATTTTGTTTCGTTCCAAAATATTGATGAGAACCCCAGATATTTAGAAAAATCTGTTTTGAGGGGCGAACTTTGAAGATGTATTTCACCCCTAAACATGTTTTTCCCTCGATAAAAAAAATACGTCTTTTAATTTTTTTTGTTTTGTGTGGTTTTTCCCCAAATTCATACTCAATAAATTAACTTTAGTAGCACACTGTTGTCATAAAGCATTAATAAGTTTTAATTCTGATGGTTTCGTTTTGCCGGTACGTAGTCTGTTGTTATGAAACATGAAGCAAATACCTACAACGTAGAGGGCAAACTCGTAAATAACGGGTACGTACAACATAAAATAGCGGCCGTGTTCTGTTTCATTTCATTACAATTAAATAACATGTCTGTTTGACGGATACTTATAAGATATATGTTATTACGGCATGTTATTTACAAATGTTATTTCTAACATAACATTTTAACGTAACATACACGGCCTGATTATGATGCGGTTTTCCAGATATTTAAAATAAAAAAAATTATTTTTGTTAATTTCAACGCCCTGTATCTCATAAACGGTGGCTTTCTGCGCATATGTTGATAGAGCAAAGTGAAATTTTTGTTGTTTAGTAGTTTCCCGAAGTTTGTCTATTAAAATCTGAACCACGTATACACGTATCAGAAATTGTCCACATACTTTTTAATATTTTTTTATGTAGGTTGATAATATTTAGATTAACATTATATCTTAAATGAAAATAAAAATTTAAGGTATTTATACAAATCTGGTAATTAGTAAAAGCCCAAAATTTCAACGCCACTGAATATTTTCACTTACCTAATATTCAAAGGAATGTCCCATGTTCATTACTAAATTTATAATAAATAAGGTATAAGAAATTTATCATACAAAAATAGTAGGGTAAAATTAAATAAAATTCTTTTAGAGAAAGGATATTATACTCTAAAGGAATTTTTTGAAAATAATATTTACCTACCTATTGATTTATTGGCTCATTATACTATGTATGTTTGTATCAGTGCATTAATTGTGTTATTTTGTTCGCATTTACTTACTTATCAGCAACTGTTAGTATTGGTGTGCATCTTGTTTTATTTTTAATATTATTTCATATATTTAAATATTTACCTTTTTACTTTTTTTAATACAACATAAATGAAGAGTTCTACACCCTAACGGGATTTTGTAATTCTTATGCAAAGTGAACTAATAAAGATTATAATACTTATTAATATCCTAAATTCCTCGTAATGTCGAAATTCTGAGATTCTTAGTGACACAGTGTCCCTCAGTACCTAAGCTATTTTAATTGATTTTGTATATCAGTTAAGAGAGATCTTTAATTCATTAAATCATTCGTCAATTCAACACTTTTAATGAGATGGTTAGTGTTGCTCACAGTCTAATTACCTATAAGATAACCGAGATAGTTAGCAACAATACATGGTTAATTAACAACAATAGTGAACAATAATGATAGTTAACCAAGTCTTAATTGACACTTAAAATACCAACCATCGGACTATTAAGGCTTTTTGGTATAACATTACCCAAGAAACAACCTCCTTAAGTTATGACTTAGAAACACACTGTGAAATATATGTGAATAGAAATTTAAAACCACAATTAGACTCTGGACATTTTTCTATTTCTGTTTTGCCTATGAAACATTTACTTTATTATTTTACATTGCTTTTAAAATGAATGTATACAGGGCGCCCGGGCGGAAGCGAATGGGCTATATTTGAAGGGTACTATCTGGTGAAAAAACCTTTTTTTTTATAATCCTTTTAAAATAACCTTTAATATTTCAGTGAAATTTGATATAGTGTATTTGACATATTTGACCATTGAAGGACTCATATCAATATCAATGTCGAATTTTCTTTATCAGAAATAGATAAATAATTTTCTCTCCTTAACTCTAATAACAGTTAATTAATACACATAAGAAAATATGAAACATACATATTCATCTACGCCCCATAAAGTAAATATTTGTTACCTACTTACCATACAAGATTCTGTTATGCAGCTTTGAAAGTAAGTATGTAGGTTGTTGATGGCGAAGAGTCGCATTGTGATTTAAATTAAATATTTGCATAATAATAATTTGCAAGAGGATGCACTGGAACCGTAGAGTAATATTTAAAATGTATTACGTTACGAGAGTGACAACTAAGAAATTTAAAACGCAAAAAAATTACCGGGGCATTATAAAAATTACAAGTACACCCCTGCAAACTTATTTTAGTCTATAATTTTAAAATCTCACAATGAGAAGTAAATAAATACTCGCATATCACTATAAAAATGGTTTTCACAATGTATCAAAATTTTCACCTTCAATTTCAAATGTGAGAATTTATCAACTTCTCATTGAGATTTCAAAAATAAGTTACAAATAAAAGATGTAGCAAAGCTACATATAGTAGCCAGTACTATCTGCTTTAAACCTCCTCCTACAAAGAGGAGAAAAAAATAGTAGAAAGCGGTCTGTACTGCATTGAATTACGCCAACAATATCAGTAAATACAACATTCGTCGGCCGAACACACCATACATATACCAGTTCTGAACTCGTTAACCCTCGTCAGTATGCCATAGGTACGACAAGCGACAAACGATCCAGATCTGGCTAGTAATGGGTCCACTCCTTGCCAATTGACTTTTGGAATACTCTTTATAGGTATATCTACTGAATAATATATCTAACTTGGTTTACCTTAGAATACTATTACTATACACATAGTTTCTGTTATCAACACTATCGGTTTTATTGTAGCAGGCATAGATTCTTTGTTTGCAAATAATCCTACAAATTAAGAAACTATAGAAAGCAAAGATATGTAAAACATGCCTATGTCCGTCCTAACCCCTGCGTCCTCCGATATGCGTAGTAGGTCATCTGCGATGTTTTGTCTATGCATTTTGTTTTTTACGTTTAATAACGTTTTATCGCACACAAAAGTTCGTTTCAACTAGTTCAACTTTGTTAAGAATATATTTCAAGATATACTTATTTTCTTTATCTTTAGTTCCCAAAAATCATTATAAAACCAAGAGTCCAAAAACACTGGGTTTACAAACATAAAGGTTGTAGTTTAAAAAACACCTGATTTATTAAAATAATTCTGAAAATGTTTAACTTATTTTCATGAATTGATTAATAATGTTACAACCATCAAAAGCTGAAAAAATCGTCATCGTTATCGTTATTGTTGTCGTTATCGCTATCGCATAACGATAATATGAGGATAACGATAACCTCATTGTTATTTTTTTCACAGCTTTCACTGATGTATCCTCCCAATGGACGAGCCAAAATCAAGTCCATCAAATGTCCATTTTTATTTGATATGATTTGATTTTATTATTATTCCTGTCTCCAGATAACCTCTTTATCTGTAGTAAAGAACCACTTTCCGCCTAAATATATATAATTACAACGATTTTTTTGGTCTTGTGATGGTATTTCAAATTGTATTTCGAACAAATATTTTTTATATTTTGAACAGTTTAGGAGTTGTTATAAGATTTACTTAACCGCGTAATAAGAGTATTTTAAATTTGCAAATGTTATGCATTATTTAATACCATTACCAAATTACATTACATTACTAGATGTACCTACTTCCAATTTGCAAAATGACTAGCGGCAAAAAAATGCTTAGGTTTTTAATGGCAGAGCTTCTAGTATCTTCGCTATTAGTTAACATAGTAATAAACCAATTCAAAGAATGTTTACTTTTAACTAGGTAGTCCTAGTTTCACCTATTATCAAGCATTTTTTTTTTTGAGGTATTTGAATAAAATGATATATTTTTTTAATTTCAGCCTTTCAATCCTCTCAGTAGTTTTAGCCTCTTGATTCATTAAGCGCTTTCAATCTAAAATGATCCACAAAACAACCTTCTCAACCTATGTTATAACACCTAGAAACATCTCGTAAAAAAGCGTTAAGTTTGAAAAAAAGACGTTCCTTAATTTTTAGCTCCTCGATATGTTACGCTATTTATAATCTTAAAAATTTTAGAAAACTAGAACTTAATATTTTTTACCTACAAAGTTCATTTGCGATTTCTAAAGATTTAGTATACAAACATTTTTAGAAATAATTGTTAAAATTAACATACGAATAAGAAATCAATTACTGAAATTTAACTGCTGAAATAAATATATTTTTATCACATTTTATAGAAACGAGAATAAAAATTATGTACAATACCTACTTAAAATGCAAACAAAAAATAAGTACACGAGTAAGCGAAGAAGAAACATTTAGTAAAGTAATTAGAAAATCATGGTCTCCTAGAATTCCTGCCACCTTCTTCTTCTTCAGGATGTGCAGCATTCCAATCTAAAGCTCGCTGAATTTCTATTGGAATAGGTGGAGCAACAGGAAGATGAGCGCCTTGTGGTTGAAAACCATTTTCATTAGCAACATATTGGAGCTGAATAGCTGCACCGTCAGGACCAGTATATTGAAATGAACCTTGTGCTTCTTCTATAGGATCCTGTGAATTTGCGTTTTTTATCTGACCAGATTCCTGTGCAGAAATACCATTGTCTGCTTCAAAACTAGAAATTGAAATTAAAATTTGATTTTAGTATCCTGTACAAAAAGGAAAGATACTTGTGGAATATACGAGCAGTTTCAAAATAAATGCGACAAACTTTAGGTGTATTTTCGATGTTTATTTTTTTCTTTAACTCACGTTTATAACATACTTTCATGTTATACGTTCCTAGGACGCATCGTCATCGAGACAGTTGGTATTATTTATTGTGTATTTATTTATTTTATAAAAATACTGCAAACAATCACTATGAATAAAATAAAATATTATTTACTTATTCATCCTCAAATGTTTTCCCACAAATAAATTACATTCTTTCATTAATTTTTAACACCATGTAAGCGAAACGTTTGCAGATGCCTGTTTGTGATGCAAATTCCACCACTAAAGTTTTCCAAGCATTTTAGTTACACTCTGAATTTATAAATATTATAAAGCGATATAATAATTATTACTGTACAGTCCGTACAATTCTTGTTGAGATAGAATTGCAAGAAGACCCCTTCGCGACTTTCTTGGAATTAACCGCATTCGACACCCGAGGTAGAAAGACATTGGCGGCGTAGCGTTCGCCGTAACGGCTTGCAGTGGAGACTGTGTTTTGCAGTTACGAAGGCGAGTTTCTTCGTAGGTGTATCGCCTGTGCATTTTCAGTGTAATTTCTTATTAAAATAAATAAATGGAAATGAACACATTTTAATAAAAAAAAAAATAAGTCACGCCCCTACCGTTGTAAATTGTTACAGGAGTTCCGATAATAGAACTTTATTGGCTTATTCTTTTCTTAGAACAAATAATGTACAGACTGAACACTATATAAGATATTTTGAAAAAGGTAGGTACTATAAATTGAAGGGCTAGTAAAACATCAAAAAGTAAACCGATTTTTGTCTATGATGCAAGAGCTTATTAATCTCTTATTTTGTTGTTTTTAATTTTAATTTAGAGATAGAGAGATATTTCCCTGCAATATTTCGAAATACACTTTTTTGAGATTAGTTATTCTGCATATATTTTTTACATATTATAAAAAAATATATCAAATTACTACTATACCAATGTCAGCTACCGTCTACCTACTTTTTCTATCAACTATATTTCATTTGTTAAGTAGAAAATTATTATTTATAAATCTTCACTCAAATGAAAAAATGTAGTGAAACGTTATTTTCCAATATTGAAACAAACGGAAGAGCCAGTGACATACACATTTTTCAAAATTGTGTCGACTCCACTTAACAAACACGCTGCTGCTGGTAACTTAATTTCGAGATATTTATTTGACAAAAATATATAGTACTAACTCAAAACTCATTCGAATTCAAAATGCTATAATACCTTACTACTAAGAAAAATTTTAGAATTCTACATAATATGAGGATAAACTTTTCCAAATTGTGCAAAGTAGAAAATGCGTAGTGAGTTAAGACTGGGTATCCACTAGTTATCATCTTGCGATATCTCAATGACATTGAACTCACGGTCAATTTATAAGTTCTAATGTAACTGAATTGTATACCCATGATATACTTCCAAGTTAAAACGTGACAGAGGTATTAATTTTTTCGAAACTTGAAGGTCTGTAACAGCGCCTGAATGCAACTTTGTATATAGATACATAATTTTGGTTAAACTACAATATTTTGAGTACACCTACTACGTATCTATTCATATGCGAAACACCCTGTATATATAACATTCTCAGAAATTTATTTGTACAAAATTCAAAATTCAATTCCAATAAAGTGTAGGTATTTTTTTTTAAATTAAAAAAAAAGTTATTTTCGATATCCTGTGTCTAAGAAATAGAAGAGCAATGGTCCGTAAGAAAAAATTATTTAATTTTTTTTATTGATTATATTAGCTCCAAAATTCCCCATTTAAGCAGAATATAAAAAACATATATTGGTAACACCTAATCTAATTTAATGGCATTGCTAAAGACCGAGAAAAACATCAAATTAATTCTATTAAGCAATTTTGCATCTCCAATAGTATACGTGCAGAGTTGGTTGCCTACTAACTCTTTTCAAGGATAGGTTAGCTAGTTTTAAGATAAACGCTTATGAATAAATAATTATAACACTGTTGATTGTCAATATGCAACAGTACAAAAAATATTAAATATTGACACTCTGAATTACCTCCATTGATAAGATCCATCAATATTTACTTCATTGGATTCTCTGATTATATTAGCTGCCTGCCCAGGTGGTTGAGATTGACGTAATGGACGGACACCACTTTGAGAAAAAGCACAGTTGATGAGTGTCCACAAAATTACCTAGAAGAAAAAAAATATATAAAAAGTATAACATAAAGATAGCAAGAAATGAATTTTCTCTCAATTAACTTTTTTCAAAAAATTAATAACCATTTTTCTTTATTTTATACCAAGCTGATGTTTCAGATGATCATTATCTAATAGATCAATAAAACACGGCGAAAGTATAAAATAAAATTGTGCATAAAAGTTGTTACAAATGTAACAACTTTAACCTTTACTCTGTTCAGTGACATAAAAGTACTACAGAGGGTAAAAGATTTTTTATTTTCATTATCATTATCATTATCATTATCATTATCATTATCATTATCATTATNCATCCATCCATCCATCCATCCATCCATCCATCCATCCATCCATCCATCCATCCATCCATCCATCCATCCATCCATCCATCCATCCATCCATCCATCCATCCATCCATCCATCCATCCATCCATCCATCCATCCATCCATCCATCCATCCATCCATCCATCCATCCATCCATCCATCCATCCATCCATCCATCCATCCATCCATCCATCCATCCATCCATCCATCCATCCATCCATCCATCCATCCATCCATCCATCCATCCATCCATCCATCCATCCATCCATCCATCCATCCATCCATCCATCCATCCATCCATCCATCCATCCATCCATCCATCCATCCATCCATCCATCCATCCATCCATCCATCCATCCATCCATCCATCCATCCATCCATCCATCCATCCATCCATCCATCCATCCATCCATCCATCCATCCATCCATCCATCCATCCATCCATCCATCCATCCATCCATCCATCCATCCATCCATCCATCCATCCATCCATCCATCCATCCATCCATCCATCCATCCATCCATCCATCCATCCATCCATCCATCCATCCATCCATCCATCCATCCATCCATCCATCCATCCATCCATCCATCCATCCATCCATCCATCCATCCATCCATCCATCCATCCATCCATCCATCCATCCATCCATCCATCCATCCATCCATCCATCCATCCATCCATCCATCCATCCATCCATCCATCCATCCATCCATCCATCCATCCATCCATCCATCCATCCATCCATCCATCCATCCATCCATCCATCCATCCATCCATCCATCCATCCATCCATCCATCCATCCATCCATCCATCCATCCATCCATCCATCCATCCATCCATCCATCCATCCATCCATCCATCCATCCATCCATCCATCCATCCATCCATCCATCCATCCATCCATCCATCCATCCATCCATCCATCCATCCATCCATCCATCCATCCATCCATCCATCCATCCATCCATCCATCCATCCATCCATCCATCCATCCATCCATCCATCCATCCATCCATCCATCCATCCATCCATCCATCCATCCATCCATCCATCCATCCATCCATCCATCCATCCATCCATCCATCCATCCATCCATCCATCCATCCATCCATCCATCCATCCATCCATCCATCCATCCATCCATCCATCCATCCATCCATCCATCCATCCATCCATCCATCCATCCATCCATCCATCCATCCATCCATCCATCCATCCATCCATCCATCCATCCATCCATCCATCCATCCATCCATCCATCCATCCATCCATCCATCCATCCATCCATCCATCCATCCATCCATCCATCCATCCATCCATCCATCCATCCATCCATCCATCCATCCATCCATCCATCCATCCATCCATCCATCCATCCATCCATCCATCCATCCATCCATCCATCCATCCATCCATCCATCCATCCATCCATCCATCCATCCATCCATCCATCCATCCATCCATCCATCCATCCATCCATCCATCCATCCATCCATCCATCCATCCATCCATCCATCCATCCATCCATCCATCCATCCATCCATCCATCCATCCATCCATCCATCCATCCATCCATCCATCCATCCATCCATCCATCCATCCATCCATCCATCCATCCATCCATCCATCCATCCATCCATCCATCCATCCATCCATCCATCCATCCATCCATCCATCCATCCATCCATCCATCCATCCATCCATCCATCCATCCATCCATCCATCCATCCATCCATCCATCCATCCATCCATCCATCCATCCATCCATCCATCCATCCATCCATCCATCCATCCATCCATCCATCCATCCATCCATCCATCCATCCATCCATCCATCCATCCATCCATCCATCCATCCATCCATCCATCCATCCATCCATCCATCCATCCATCCATCCATCCATCCATCCATCCATCCATCCATCCATCCATCCATCCATCCATCCATCCATCCATCCATCCATCCATCCATCCATCCATCCATCCATCCATCCATCCATCCATCCATCCATCCATCCATCCATCCATCCATCCATCCATCCATCCATCCATCCATCCATCCATCCATCCATCCATCCATCCATCCATCCATCCATCCATCCATCCATCCATCCATCCATCCATCCATCCATCCATCCATCCATCCATCCATCCATCCATCCATCCATCCATCCATCCATCCATCCATCCATCCATCCATCCATCCATCCATCCATCCATCCATCCATCCATCCATCCATCCATCCATCCATCCATCCATCCATCCATCCATCCATCCATCCATCCATCCATCCATCCATCCATCCATCCATCCATCCATCCATCCATCCATCCATCCATCCATCCATCCATCCATCCATCCATCCATCCATCCATCCATCCATCCATCCATCCATCCATCCATCCATCCATCCATCCATCCATCCATCCATCCATCCATCCATCCATCCATCCATCCATCCATCCATCCATCCATCCATCCATCCATCCATCCATCCATCCATCCATCCATCCATCCATCCATCCATCCATCCATCCATCCATCCATCCATCCATCCATCCATCCATCCATCCATCCATCCATCCATCCATCCATCCATCCATCCATCCATCCATCCATCCATCCATCCATCCATCCATCCATCCATCCATCCATCCATCCATCCATCCATCCATCCATCCATCCATCCATCCATCCATCCATCCATCCATCCATCCATCCATCCATCCATCCATCCATCCATCCATCCATCCATCCATCCATCCATCCATCCATCCATCCATCCATCCATCCATCCATCCATCCATCCATCCATCCATCCATCCATCCATCCATCCATCCATCCATCCATCCATCCATCCATCCATCCATCCATCCATCCATCCATCCATCCATCCATCCATCCATCCATCCATCCATCCATCCATCCATCCATCCATCCATCCATCCATCCATCCATCCATCCATCCATCCATCCATCCATCCATCCATCCATCCATCCATCCATCCATCCATCCATCCATCCATCCATCCATCCATCCATCCATCCATCCATCCATCCATCCATCCATCCATCCATCCATCCATCCATCCATCCATCCATCCATCCATCCATCCATCCATCCATCCATCCATCCATCCATCCATCCATCCATCCATCCATCCATCCATCCATCCATCCATCCATCCATCCATCCATCCATCCATCCATCCATCCATCCATCCATCCATCCATCCATCCATCCATCCATCCATCCATCCATCCATCCATCCATCCATCCATCCATCCATCCATCCATCCATCCATCCATCCATCCATCCATCCATCCATCCATCCATCCATCCATCCATCCATCCATCCATCCATCCATCCATCCATCCATCCATCCATCCATCCATCCATCCATCCATCCATCCATCCATCCATCCATCCATCCATCCATCCATCCATCCATCCATCCATCCATCCATCCATCCATCCATCCATCCATCCATCCATCCATCCATCCATCCATCCATCCATCCATCCATCCATCCATCCATCCATCCATCCATCCATCCATCCATCCATCCATCCATCCATCCATCCATCCATCCATCCATCCATCCATCCATCCATCCATCCATCCATCCATCCATCCATCCATCCATCCATCCATCCATCCATCCATCCATCCATCCATCCATCCATCCATCCATCCATCCATCCATCCATCCATCCATCCATCCATCCATCCATCCATCCATCCATCCATCCATCCATCCATCCATCCATCCATCCATCCATCCATCCATCCATCCATCCATCCATCCATCCATCCATCCATCCATCCATCCATCCATCCATCCATCCATCCATCCATCCATCCATCCATCCATCCATCCATCCATCCATCCATCCATCCATCCATCCATCCATCCATCCATCCATCCATCCATCCATCCATCCATCCATCCATCCATCCATCCATCCATCCATCCATCCATCCATCCATCCATCCATCCATCCATCCATCCATCCATCCATCCATCCATCCATCCATCCATCCATCCATCCATCCATCCATCCATCCATCCATCCATCCATCCATCCATCCATCCATCCATCCATCCATCCATCCATCCATCCATCCATCCATCCATCCATCCATCCATCCATCCATCCATCCATCCATCCATCCATCCATCCATCCATCCATCCATCCATCCATCCATCCATCCATCCATCCATCCATCCATCCATCCATCCATCCATCCATCCATCCATCCATCCATCCATCCATCCATCCATCCATCCATCCATCCATCCATCCATCCATCCATCCATCCATCCATCCATCCATCCATCCATCCATCCATCCATCCATCCATCCATCCATCCATCCATCCATCCATCCATCCATCCATCCATCCATCCATCCATCCATCCATCCATCCATCCATCCATCCATCCATCCATCCATCCATCCATCCATCCATCCATCCATCCATCCATCCATCCATCCATCCATCCATCCATCCATCCATCCATCCATCCATCCATCCATCCATCCATCCATCCATCCATCCATCCATCCATCCATCCATCCATCCATCCATCCATCCATCCATCCATCCATCCATCCATCCATCCATCCATCCATCCATCCATCCATCCATC